TAGCAAATCTTCAAATTGCGCGTTAAGTTGGCTCCTAATTATTGTGCAATTTTTCAGGCTATCTGTTGGCTCTAAATAAAGCTTTTAAATTCTCGATTCGAAACATGCAACGCACTACAAAGAAGTTGGCCGTAACTATCGAACATTGGTATGTTTCAAAAGCATCCGTACATATATATATATATATATATATATATATATATATATATATATATATATATTAGGACAAACAGTAAAAATTAGTGAAGTGGAAAGGTTTGATTGAGAAAAATGTATTCATAAAGGATTCTTCCAGCTATAGACGTTACTCTTAAATGACGAAAGAGTTACTGTAGTACCACCACTGGCTTCTATTCTGCGCCATTTCTGATAACGGCTCAAGCCATTGTTGCACTAGCTCCAGGACCACAGCCAGGGAGTCTTGAAGGACCAACAGAAGCCAGTCTTCTACAGCCTTCTTTCATACCACGACACTTTACTATACCCGGACCACCGTTTTTCTCTAACCAGGTCTAGCGTCGACAAATAATGCACGGTGTGGAATCCATTGGACAACATTCGTAGTATATTTCCAGGCCTTCAATGTCAGTGTTTCTGGGTGGTGACACTAATTGAATCATCGTCACTGTGTCTGAACACATATTACTAACGTGGTTTTGCCACTGGATGTCAACAATAATCAAGCATAGTCATCTAATATCCTCAACTTAGACAAGCCAGGTTTCATAAGCATAGGGTAAAACTGCCAATATATCTATTCAAGAATTTATTGTTTTCTCCTGTTGGCTTTATGATGATCTGTATTAAATCGTAAGCATGTTTCTTCTAGACAGAAATAGGTGAAACAAAATATTTCAGGATAACCAGCCAATAATTTGACAAAGCATCATTTATCGGTTTCAAGTTATGTATAAAATGTTACGTTTTCTATGGATAACCAATAATTTGTTACGCTAAGCTGCATTTATAGTCTATTGTATGTTCTTACAGGCTAATCGTTTGCCCAACATCATTTTTGGCCTTGGTTTTCTGTGGTTAAACAGTTAATAAAATCAATATCTATATTAAATCCAAGGTTAGCTTCGCTCAATAAAACAAACTTAGTGTGATTATAATTTCCAAGTTATGGATAACTGGAATTATAGATCTAATAATTTCAGTTGATTATTTAAAATACCTAGATAACTAGATATTGAACTGAGTTGACTTCACTGTGTGTAAATCAACAATTGTTTCTTGCCCATTATCAGGATTCAGTTTTGAGATGTATAACTAATCATTATAACTGTATTTTAATAATCGAATAGATTTTCAAATTGTGTAGTGGAGGATGAGGGTATTTCCCTCGAGCACAACGTCTCGCAGTTACAATCAAGCAGAAATGTAGATCAGCTTCTGTAAATATTCAGGAAGGTCGGTCAAGTAAGTTTGCTAATTTAATGTTTAGGATTCACCTTATCTTGAGGCACTTGTATATAATCCTCTTAATATTTAACCTAACAGCCTCCCACCTTTTGTGTATACGCGACCAAATATACTATTTCTTATGGGCAAACACTTATCAACTACTTGTTTGGTGTATGTGCGATCGGAGTATAACGTTTTCTGTAGTTTTGCATTAATTTGGTCAAATTATGCTATATCAAGTGCCCAATGTCTGTATCCGTTTTTCCCTATTTATGTATATATTACATATTATAGGTAGTCACAATCAAATTCATTTATCTCAAAAGCTTGAGTCCCCTGTTTTACAACTTGTTTTGACTGGAGACTAACAGACCAATTTTCGTGTGCAAAGACAGTTCCCCGTACAGTGTCCATATATATCAGTCCCCAAATACTGTACACGTAAATCACAAGTCTTTAGACTTCCTAGATCGATATCAATGTAAGTCTCACTTGATTTCATAATAGCTCGAAAACCCGTAAAACTCAGTCCTTAAAAGCTCTTCATGGAAAACTCATATATGAAAAGCATACATCTATCACTATTGTTGCCACCACAACACTTGTAGAACGTCCTAAAACTGAAGAAACTTCCCATTTTTCTTAACAGTACAGACTTAAATTCACTTGATATTGTTTACTTGAGTCTTCCCATTGATGTTTAGGACTCCAATGCCCTGGTACGGCCGAAAGTGGGGTGAGTCCACTCTCCCTCTCGAAATGCTCCCACATGGTCAGGCGTATATCCTCTGCCAGGAAAGTCCTACTCATTTCCTTCTCACGGTGGGGGTGTTGTTTACGAAATTGACAGGACGAAAAGCGAATGTCCGGCGCTTTAACCGGGTTGGTGGACATGGACAGTCCACATAGGGGAGTTGGAAAACCCTAATTCCAAACCAGTGCTCCACATGGGCTCCATTATCCTGAAGGAACAAATGGCGTATGAACCAATCGTTGGTCACCGGCTATCATGGGACTGCATCTCCTTACGATGCTCCAATGCCTTGTGAATCAGATCTTTAGGTCGAAGGCTCCGTGTTTTGTCCCCTAAGCAAATAAATAAATTAGGACTGCAATTGATCAGTCTTATTGATATATGCACATACTGTGCACATTGCCTCAGAATTGCCTTGATTCATGAGCATTCTGAATAATGATGGATAGTGTCTAGTGTGGAATCCAGGACGCATGTTTCGTCCCATTTAGGGCTCACCAGCTGAATATACCTGCATCATTCCGGGTACTCGAGGCCAGTGCCGTTTACTTCAAACTCCATCGCGTTAGCCACTTAGTCCCAGAGTGAACAAACTACGGCTGTATACTTTTGAGTTAACTATGGCCGGTATCAACAACCGCTTGCTTCAAATCACCGTTGTAGTCAGTCAATCAGCTACGACGTAGGACAAAGCGTATCTATGCATCGGTCAAAGTTGCCATACCGCATTAACACAGCAAGATGAACACCGGATTCATAGGAGTGGTTAAGTCAATGGTGGTAATATGTAAAAGAAAGATTGCATATAAGGATATGGTACGAGAAGAAAGTATTAGTTCGTAGAAAGAAAGATATGAAGTGACTCTAATCTCATAGTTTAAGGGAAGACAGAGTGGATACACCTACGCCATTTTGACCGAGTCTGAGTCATGTCACCAAGAGTCTCCAACCATTGGTTATGATAGTCACGCGGACCCCAACCAAGTAGTCTGCATTTACCAACATGGCTGAGATCAGAAGTTATTGACTTCAAGGACTGACGCCACGTTTTGGTTTGGCCCCCCCTAACTTTCTTCTAACCATCCTCAACACCGGTTAGCATTGTACGTCGTGGTAATTGGTGTTCAGGCATACATAACACGTCCAACCATCTCATTCGATGAAGATTCACAACCTCATAAACTGTTTTGCAATCATTCCCCAATACCCTGCGTCTAACCTCACTATATAGGCTAACCTCTTCTTCATGACAACAGATGTTTATCAAAAGTTGTTGGATCTACAAGTGACTGAAAAACAAATCATCTCTTATGGTAAGTGGTACGTTTATCTGAACATGAGTTATGTGAACCTACAAATTATATCAGCTAATGAGTGAATAGTTTATGAATTTTACTTAAATGTCGCACGTTAACTTAACAAGAAATGGAATCTAAAGATATAAGGAATCAGTTTAACTTAACGATAGCTTGATCATATTTTAACAAATTACTTATTCTGAATTAGAACAACATATATAAGCGAACAATATTGTTCTCAATTAGATCATCAGGCCTTACTCTAATGTACAGTAATATTTATATGCATATACGAAAGTAAGTAAACCAATCAAGACAGTTTATAAGTCAGTGATAACAGTGGAATAGATTACGTAGATAAGCATAATCGAAAAGTAAAAATTGATGATGTAATGACAGGTGTATTAGCTGTGATAGGAATAGGAAAGGCTTGAATCGATGTTTCATAATAGGAAATAAACCAATGACTTGAATAATGTAGACGCTGGAATAACATTCACAAGAACCATAAGATTACGTAACAAGAAGTGTTCAAATAATTGGACAATGAAGCGTATATTCGGAAAAAGGGAGGGTGAAGAAAATAACGAGTATGTGAAATAATAATAGATCCGGAACTCATATGACGGACTACAGTGCAAGGTCGTGCATGGAGGACAGCTGACAGATGCATTCCAAGTAAGGACCGGAGTCAGACAAGGCTGTTTACTCTTTCTTCTGGTGGTCGACTGGATTATAAAGACCTCAACATCTGAGGGAAAACACGGAATACAATGGACAGCTCAGAATCAATTAGACGATTTGGACTTCGCAGATGACCTAGCCCTCCTATCGCATACACATGAACAAATGCAGATAAAGACAGCCAGTGTAGCAGCAGTCTCTGCATCAGTAGGCCTCAGCATACAGAAGGGGAAAACCAAGGTCCTCAAATTCAAAGCGGAGAACAGCGATCCAATCACCCTTGATGGCGAAACTCTGGGAGATGTAGAATCCTTCACATACCTGGGAAGCATAATCGATGAACAAGGAGGCTCAGATGCAGACGTTAAGGCGAGGATTGGCAAAGCAAGGGTCTCGTTCCTACAATTGAAGAACATATGGAACTCAAAACAACTTTCAACCAATATCAAAGTGAGAATCTTCAATACGAACGTCAAGGCAGTTCTACTGTATGGAGCTGAAACTTGGAGAACTACAACAACTACAATCAAGAAGATACAAGTATTTATAAATAGTTGTCTACGCAAGATACTCAACATCCATTGGCCAGATACCATCAGCAACAGCCTTCTATGGGAGAGAACAAACAGCTTCCATCTGAAGAGGAAATTAGGAAAAGACGATGGAAATGGATAGGACATACATTACGCAAATCATCAAACTGCATAACGAGGCAAGCCCTAACTTGGAATCGTGAAGGGAAGTGGAAAAGAGGAAGGCCAAAGAACACATTACGTCAGGAAATAAAAGCAGATATGGAAAGCATGAATAACAACTGGAAGGAGCTAGAAAGGATTGCCCAGGACAGGGTTGGATAGAGAATGCTTGTGAGCGGCCTATGTTCCTTCATGAGGAGTAACAGGCGTAAGTAAGTAACATAATAATAATTAAGATCGTTTATTAAGGTTAATTCGGCCGATGAAGAGGTAGAGGTATTATAAATTCCTTATGGATACAAAGGCTTGGATAAATGTACCGCTTACTATAAGTGATGATTGGTTTTTCTTTATTCACTTATTGTATTTTGTTGATTAGTGAGGTTATTAAACCAACTAAACGATAATATATTATTACGATGTTTCATACACATAGTTCCCTTTATCATTTTGAAAAGACCAAGAACAAAGATTCTAGCAGAATAACATGAATTCATTTTATTTCGTAGGTTCTCGTCAGCTGCTTACAACCTGTGGTATTTAAAAAGATAATAATTATATAATGGGTTTTGAATTGCTCACATGAGAGGGTTTATATTGAAGAAATATTCGTAAAGTATGACATGGGTGTAAATCAAATATTGTAAACATATACCTAATGTGAAAGAATATTCTAGATCATTAATTGTGACAACAGTTCAAAAATGGGTTAGAAACAATTGATTACATAATGAATAAACATTGATAGGAACATAGTGAGTAGAGTTCAGTTGAAAGACTATTAATTTTTAAAGATAGTTGAAAAAATAAAATCAATGATGTAATAAATATATAAGATAAAAATTTAAAAAAAAATTAAGCTGCAGCGGAAGAATATTTGTCACCAAGGCAGGGAAAGATTAACAATCATCTCCTTTTGAACACATAAATCAGGTTTTTGGCGCCTGATAGCAACTGCTTCAGCAAACTTCAGAAGACTGGAGTTTGGCTGCTTACTAATCACCTTGGATGATTGTAGGGTGTCAACCTGATGGCCTGTGTCAAGGAGATATTTGGTGATTGTACTACTTAGAGTCTTTCTCTTTCTTGTTCTGAGACTTTTTGGAACATGTTCAAAAAATCTGAGATATGCCCTCCTCTCTGTTCGGCCAATGTAGCTGCTTTGGCAGGTACATGCCAATTTATAAATACAATTGGCGGTAACATGAAAAGGATGCTTATCAACCTTTGATTGAGTTATTGAACATGTTGTTTTATACAGAATTTGAAGTTTGGCCACCGGATAGGTTCTGGCTAGCGCAGTATTGAGTCTCCTGTTGATTGTGTTAGCAACATCATCACCTTTGAAGTTAAGACTTATAGTTATTGGTTTTTTATTGACAGTAATTACTTTAATATTATTTTCTTTACGCTTTTTAGATTTGTCAATAAAATTTTGTGGGTAATAGTTGTCTCGTAGGCATTTTTGCACGTTCATCAATTCTTCTTCCAGCGTATCAGTGGTACATATCTTTTCTGCCCTATAAAATAGTGTTTTAATTAATGCTTTCTTGTAGCTGAGTGGTATATATTTACAATATCCAGCCTATTAATTTCATTTACACCCATGTCATACTTTACGAATATTTCTTCAATATAAACCCTCTCATGTGAGCAATTCAAAACCATTATATAATTATTATCTTTTTAAATATCACAGGTTGTAAGCAGCTGACGAGAACCTACGAAATCAGAATGAATTCATGTTATTCTGCTAGAATTTTTGTTCTTGCTCATTAGGATGTTTATTTGCATTTTTTATGTTTGGCTCAATGTTCAGTTATCAGTCACTTAAAAATGCTTTTTATTGTTTGAAATTGATATTATGTAATCAACATGTATCCTTGATTTTGTCGATGTTTATTATTACAGTCGTCATGTATACTTCAAATGAATACCGTCGACGTTAATCTATTTCGTTTTTTCTATTACCTTTGCCCGCTAAAAGTAGTACAATGTGAAATAAGTTATGCTCTGAATCTTATTATCCTGACACTCGTCAAATGTTTCATTTTTACCTTGTCTAAGTAAGAGATAATTTTTTATGTATTTCTTTCTTAATTCGGCTAGTATATTCGCTTAAAGAGAAAGCAACTACCGATATTGTTAATCAGTGTAGAAATTTAAGAAGAAATATCGTTTAGGCGTTAAAATAATGGGATTTTAAATCTAGTCGATAATTGTCGGATTATTATAGAGTATTTCAATTCTGAAATTTTACCTACTGATCTCATATCAGTGTGATTCAATTCCAGCTTTGAATTCCTTTTTAACAGTTACTGAATAGTTTAATTAGTTGGTATATTATGATTTCTTTCATGACTAATTATTATCTTCCAGGATCTTTCGAAATCACCGTGAATGGAAATCTAATTTTTTCAAAACTAAAGTGTGGTAGTTTTCCTTCAACAGAAGCCGTAAGTTATTCTTACTTTTTTTTTTCAAAGTTAAAAGTATAACTTTACATTATTGTTAATTTCTACACATCTATATTTGGACAGTACGTTTCCCAGGGGAAATTCAGTGAATAATCAGAAACAGATTGATGAATTTCGAGTTGTTAATTTTATCAAGAAACATGGAGATAATGCGATTTCGATTTACTTGAACTTTCTCTAAATATTTTATGTAAACGTCTTTCAAAATTGCACTTCCTGGTTATTATTTCACTGGATTGTACTCTTTGAATAACATCTTCAAACACTAATCTATCCGATTACTGCTTATACTCTTACCGCCTCTATCACTACGGGATTTGAATCGACAACTGCATCTCTGTACTAATGTGGTATGGCAACTTGAACTGATGTACGTACGTACGAAGTTCTACGTTGTTACTGACTGACTGACTGATTAGAGTAGACTTGAGTTTAATGGATTATATACTGAGTAAATTACCTCACTTAAAAATTGCTTTCACTAATAGTTTCCTGTTGTTATCGAATCATTAGAAACTACGGGAATTATTATTGATTAACCTAAATTTTCAATTTTTCTCAGTACTGAATGTATTTTACTTAGTCCCTATATTTTACAGCTTGTATAAAATCCGCGAATCACTGATGTTAGAAATTTATTTTTCAGATTTTTCTCTGTCATTTATCTCCTAAACCATAATGTCAGCATAAGAAAAGATAGGCAAACAGATAGGATTTTTACACAAGTATATTTTAGTGTAAATTACATCAAAGCCGAATGTAATCAATAGTCCAAGTTACTTAAATTTCTTGTACATTCTGTTTGGGATTAAATGATAAGAGTTTCTCGGTCAAGTGACCTTGCTCGATTCAAATTTCAAGATATTCAATAGGGTGGATTTTATCATCATTCATGTTTCTATTTTCCACGATGAATCTATCAGTGCTTGATGACACTAACTTCTAGTCTCAGCCATGTTGGTAAATGCAGACTACTTGGTTGTGGTCCGCGTGACTATCGTAACCAATGGTTGGAGACTCTTGGTGACATAGCTCAGAATCGATCACAATGGCGTAGTTGTATACACTCTTTGTTTTCTCTTAAACAGTGAGATTAAAATCACTTCATATCTTTTTTTCTACGAACTAATTCTTTCTTCTTGTACTATATACTTATATGCAATCTTTGTTTTATGTATTACTACCATTGAATTAACTACTTCTATGAATCCGGTGTTCATCTTGTTGTGTTAATTAGGTGTGGCAACTTTGACCGATGCATAGATGTGCTTGGTCCTACGTTGTGGCTGACTGACGACTGACTCAATTTAATTAAACACAAACATTGGTACATAGAGAGGCACCAAATAGATAAGCGTCACATGAATCATTCGATTTGTGTGGGGGTTGGGATACTGTCTGGGTGCCCAAACCGAAGTAGGTGATTTTCTTAGGGGGCTACACCCGGAGCCTTTGATCTAAAGGTGTTATTCACAAGGCAGTGGAGTATCATGAGGAGCTGCAGTCCTATGATAGCCGGTGACCAACGATTAGTTCATACGCCATTTGTTCCTTCAGGATCCTGGAGTCCATGTGGAGCATCGGTTTGGAATCAGGGTTTTCCGACTCCCCTATGACAGTGAAACATGGCCGGTAAGAGTAGAGGATATCCGTAGGTTACTAGTATTTGATCATAGGTGTCTTCGAAACCTTGCTCGTATATCATGGGACCATCGAGTAAGTAACACAGTTGTTAGGAAACGGGTACTAGGTAAGGATGGCAAATCATTATGAGTAGTGGCCCAACGCCAACTACCCGACGCTGTGTTCAATGGTATAGGAGTAGGTTGGAAGAAAGCTAGGGGCGGCCAAACCAAAACATGGCACAAGTCCATGAAGTCACTGACAAGTGGACTGAGTCATGTTGGTAGGTGTAGACTACGTGGTTGGGGACCGCCAGATGATAGCAACCGATGGTTAGAGACCCTGAATGACATGGCTCAAAATCGTTTGCAATGGCGCAGGTGCATCCACTCTTTGTGTTCTCCCAAATTCTAATCTTCTGAATTGTTCATATCCCTTTTTTCTTCTTTCCAAATTTATTTCACTGGATTATACTCCTTGAATAATATCTTGAAACCCTAATCTTTCTAATTACTATTCTTACTACCTCTACCACTACGGGATTTGAACCGACAAATGCATATCTGTGCTAATGTGGTGTGGCAACTCTAACTGACGTACGTACGTACGAAGTTCTACGTTGTTACTGGCTGACTGAAGGCAGTGAACAAGATTTCTCTGTTAGTGGTTGTATACATGTGGTCGTGTGGAAGGATTTCCAGAGGGGGAGCTGACGCTCGGCCGCACCAGGGTGTTTAGGGTGCAAAGTATTTTTCGGAGGTGGGATTCGAACCCACGTTCACATCGTGGATCAGAACACCGAGAAGAATACTCGAGTTTGACGCCTTAGACCACTCAGCCACTATGACGTTAATAAGCCAGAGACACGCGTTATTCTCATCTGGTCCAGCGATGCAAGTATTGATTAATGTCAACGTTGTTTAACTGCGGTAATCGGACGAGAACCGACGCTTCCAACGTGGTACGGTCACCGACACTATACCCATAATTATTAGTTTAAGCAGTCAAACTTTAATTCTGTTTCATGTATATTTATATATATATACTTATTACATAATCATATACTATTTAATTTATGTTACTGTTAGGTCATTTCTGAATTGATTAACATTGAGAATGGTGAAACACCTCGTGAAGTAATTGAATATGAATCATCCAATTGTAATTTACTTTAGATCATTAATTCTTTTTTTATTTTATAATTTTTAATGTAAACATGAAAACTACGACAAAAATAATTATGATGTGTACAAAGTAAAGAAAAATATTTATTATTAACCTTTGTATACTGATGTGATATTGTCTAGTTTTCAGGGTTTTCTTTACTACTATTATGTGTGGTACTTGGTATGATTATTCTTATTCTTATTGTTTATTTATGTTTTGTGCATCTTTATAAATTTGTTGCTGATTGACTGATTTATTGATTGATATCAATTTGTTTCATTGTTCAGTTTGTTTATTTTATTTTTTCCAAAAAAATGTTTAACTTGCTTTTTTTGTAAACATGTTTTGTTTTGTTAGTTATATAGATTGATTATTTAAACAAAATATCACAAGTTGAAATCATGAGCCAATTGAAGCTAGACCACCATGGAAAACCTGGAAGCACTGGACGGCCGTTTCGTCCTATTGTGGGACTCCTCAGCAGTGCACATCCACGAACCCGTCCCCCGCAGGATTTGAACCCAGGACCTACTGGCTTTGCGCGCGAGCACTTAACCATTGGACCACTGAGCCGGCATCCAACGGTGTTAATGTCTAACTTCAACCAATCCAAACAAAATAGATTGATAATTCAGTGGTTATTATCAATTGTACATTTTTTCTTTGATAATTCGTTATTGATTGTAGAACTTTCGTCTAAATTTAAATGAATAGTGAGACATTAAAGAGGAAGGAATATGTATTTGTGCAAATCTCAGTGAAAGAATTTGAAGTAAATCCAACATTTCGTCTGGCAATCTGATCCAAGCTTTTTCAAGGAAAATATTTTCTTTGAAAAGACTTTAGGTTTATGTATGTGTAAGATCTTTCTAGTACTTCAATCTATGCTTCTTATCTATCTGCTTTATATCATATATTAGGATTAGTTGTTGCTACTACCATATTCTACATTTCTTCAACGTTATAGATCATCTATGTAATTTTAAACTCAGTCGGTATAAAGTCATGTTACACGTATAGATGATAGCAAATAATCTGTTGATGCTATTGCATAGCGAGAAGCAGTGACCAGCAGAGTTCAACCGGGTCAGTTGTGAGGTAGTAACTCACTGATGACAATGGTGGATGTGTCGCACAATTTCGTGGATTAGTTGAAGTTGGACATTGACACTGTTGGATGCCGGCTCAGTGGTCTAGTTGGTTAGGCGCCTGGCGCGAAACGTATATGTCCTGGGTTCGAATTCCGCGAGGCGGCGTTGTTGGATGCATTCTGCTGAGGAGTACCTTAATAGGACGAAACGGCTGTCCAAGTTTTCCATGGTGGTCTAGCTTCAGTTGACTCATGATCTCAACTATTGATACTGAACATTTCTTGTGAAGTGTTGGTGGTACATTTAATTTTTGAATCTTGATCGTCGTATTTGAATTAATTTGCCTTTACTTGACCCTGTATCTCTATAAATAGATCTGGTTTGCAGATAAATAAGATCAATGTGGTCGTTGGATTTAATCCTTTGTATTACTAAAAACGTTCATTTAGATAAAAAAGTAATATCTGATACGTAATTCATCGTATACTTATTCAGTAATGATGATAATCTGCATTTGATAACCCTCTCTTATAGTACTGGTATTATTTTGGTCGGCTGTTGAAATATATATATCTATTTTTGAACAAAGTAACTTCATTTCAATCAGCTCATACCGATTCTTACCATTAAAGATACCGATTTATCAATTGAAAGGAATAAATAAATTTTTACTGAAAGGAGATAAAGAAAACATCTCAAAAATAATACTCAAGTGTTTAAAGTAATAAACGATTAGTTTCGATCTCAGTAGGAATCGCAATCCGTCAAAATCTAGACGCAATCTACCAACAATTTCTAAATGTAACAAAATTGAATGAATAGTGGTCTTGAGTGCTGTTAGAGGTATGAGGGCGGTTATCACTTCCCGGTTGCCCACACCGTGGAAGGGTTCTTCTGGAGGTACCTGAAAAGGAATTGGGATTAAAGGTGGTCTTAGTGACTTGAGAGCGTGACCGCAGTGCCCAAGGGACAACTGCTTGAGGTCGGTCACACACGACCTTTTTATGAGTAACTTGTGTTAGCTTCGTACTTGTTGAGACCTTAC